AGTCTTGGGTTTGCTTAGGAAGAAAGGCTCATAAGCTCAATGAATTTTATCTTTGAAAAATGTATACACATCTAACTACTGAAAAAACAGCCCCTCCATTTCCCTAGGCTGTGGTCTGTATCCAACACTCCATGAAGAGTTCCAGAGATCCTGGAAGAAAATCTCATCACAAGGCTGGATCAGGAACTGCTCAAGATGATCTTGAACAATTTCATAAGGGAAAGGAACCCAGCAGAGGACAGTCACTGTGCTTTGGGGATATGACCTCTGATAGGTTGTCCATGCTCAGTGGATGGCCCACACCAAGATGCAGCATAGCGCAGCACGAATTAGACTCAGACGGCTAATAACAGAGGAGACCATGAACTTGGGAGGGTGATGGGGTGGTGGGGAGTAGTGGGGGGATTGGAAGGAGGTAACAGTAGATGGATATGATCAAAATAAACTGTATAAATACAAAATTTTCAGAGAATAAGTATTTAAGGGAGGGAGGGAGGGAGGGAAGGGAGGGAGGGAAGGGGAGGAGGAGGGAGGGAGGGGAGGGAAGGAAGGGGAGGAGGAGGGAGGGAAGGAAGGGGAGGAGGAGGAGGGAGGGAGGCCCATCTGACAGGGGAGCCAGCTGGAGAAGGTATTCTGTTGGCCAACTCTGGGACAATTTGAGCAGCAAGATAATGGTGCTGACTTTATAAACTACTCAGTATGAGGAGGAGGAGGCTCCAGGCATTGTTCTGATGTTAATTAACTGAGGTGTAAAACAGTTGTGGTGAGGTGACAAAACATTGTTCTGATGTTAATTAACTGAGTTGATAAAACAGATTAACAAGTAGGAAATTCTGGGCTAGGGAAGGAGTTCCGTGGTAGATTACTTGCTTCACATGCATATGTGCACGGCTGGGGCCAGGGTCTATAGAACAAAGAAAAAACAAAATTTTACTTGACCACCATCATAGTGATGATAGAGGCAGACAAGAAATATCAATAGGGGCCTGGAGAGATGGCTCCATGGTTAAGAGCACTGACTGCTCTAGCAGAGGTAGGTGAGATGGCTTAACAAGAGAAGGTGCTTGCCACCAAGCCTGACAGCCTGAGTTCAATCCTCAGGATTCACATGGTAGAAGAGACTCCAGTAAGTTGTCCTCTGACCTTCACACATGTGCTGTGGCATGCATATAACCACACGTGCAAGCATGCACACACACAAATCAATAAACGTTTTTATAAAAATAGGAAATAAAATCTTGCAGAAACGTATCCTAAAATATTTACAGGTGAAATAATTTGATGTCTGAGATTTGCCTCAAAGACAAGAGAGGGAACATATAGGCGGAGCTGGAAATGAGTCCAAACTGGCTGTTACACGTGGGGCTCTTTGTAAGTTCTACTCCTGTTAGTGTTTTAAATATTCTGAAAGCAAAAGGCCAAAGGAAGTTTTCAGGAAATCGTGGAACGATGAGTGCCACTAAAAATAGTGAGGCAAACAGGATTACTGACTTTCCACCTTTTTGATTATCCGATAGCAATGTTATTACAATAAGCAGGAAGCTTTTTTTTATCGTTTTTTGGTTGGTTGGTTGGGTTTTGGGGGGGGTTCTTTTTGAGACAGGGTCTCCCTGTAGCCCCAGCTGGCCTGGAACTCACTATATAGACCAGGCTGGCCTTGAACTCAGAGATCCACGGCCTCTGCCTCCCGAGTGCTGGGATTAAAGGCGTGTGCCACCACTCCAGGCGGCAGGATGCATTTATATGCTAAAAATAACTTACAGAAAAATTGTAAAGCATACCCCTACCCCCAAAACAGAAGTGAAAACCTAAAATTGGTGAGCTAAGCTTGCATAGTGGTTTTATGTATTTGGAGTATGTTTTTCTTGAGACCAGTATGAAGTATCAGTCATCTGGAACAGTGACTAGGGTTGGTAAGTCAGCTGATAAGTTCAATAAAAAATCATTCAAGTTATTTTGCTGGGATATGCAAAATAAAGACAAAAATTATAAAACCCACAAAATTTGCAGCTTGCCTCACTTCCAAATTAGCCTGTAACCCAAGCTGGGAAGTCATGGAGACACAGCTCCACATAAACCATTTCCCCTTGAGTTCTGATGAGCTGCTGAGTTCTCCCACGTAACTCACCTCTATGCTTCGTGTCACAAGCATGAAAAATGCCCGAGAGTAACTCCTCTTCACAGGCACTGCTGGCTACGTCCTCAGGACCACCGTCTTCTGTATCAGAAGATACAAAGGAACCTTTCTGTGCCATGATGGTTAGTTTCTCATTTGGGGGGCTACTGGGAAGGAATTTTACTCAGTAAACATTAGCTGATAGTTAGTCAGTAGATCAATAGACCAAAAAAAAAAAAAAAGGTCTCATTAAGGACCTTTTATCCCAGCACTCTAGAGGCAGAAACAGGCAGAGCTCTGGGAATCTGAAGTCAACCTGGTCTTCATGGAGCGTTCCAGGCCAATCAGAGCAACATAGTAAACTGCAACACAGTAATGATTATAAATCACGTGATATAGAATTTGCCTTCAGATTTTAAGTGTACAAAATTCAGAAGGTTTTCTTTTAAGAGGAGGAGAAAGAAGGCTAGAGAGACAGCTCAGCAATTAAGAGCACTTACAGTTCTTGTAGAAGGCTTGAGTTTGGTTCCCAGCACCCATATCAAGTGATTTACAATTGACTGTAACTCCAGGTCAAGGGGTTCCAACACCCTTTGGCTTCCATGGGCCTTATACACACATGGTACAAAACACTCATACATGCACATACACACATACACATGAATAAAAATAAATCTTATTTAATAGAGGAGAAAGAAATACACTTGAAACAGAGGAATCAAAAAATAATTGGTGCATGCCCGTGTGGATGCCTGTGTGCACGCCATGGCCAATGAAACCCATTACTTTGTATGCTAACCTAAAACACCAATGGAAAATAAAAAACCAGAAGGTTGGAGTGGCTAAGTGTGCATACAACTTTTGCAGAGAACTCATTTGGTTATAACAACTCCAGCTCCAAGGGAACCCTATGCCCTCTTCTGGCCTCTGCAAGTAACCACATCCATGTGGCATACACATACACAATCACACACACATACATACACATGAATAAAAAAAATTTTAAAGAAAAGGGCTGGAGAGATGGCTCAGCAGTTAAGAGCACTGATTGCTCTTGCGGAGGACCTGGGTTTGATTCCCAGCACCCATATGGCAGCTAACAACCATCCTTAACTCCAGTTCCAGGGGATCTGATGCTGTCTCTGACCTACATGGGCATTGCACGACACAGGTGCACTTACATACATGCAGGCAATACACTCATACACATGGAATAAAAATAAAATATTAAAAAGAAAAGGAAAAAAAATGGATGCTTCCACCCAGACATATAGAAAAAGTTTTAGTTCAAATATTCTGTAAATAGATATGCATAGTGCTTTCTTCGAAGAGCAAATATTTTTAAACATAATTATTTACCATCTTCATTCAGAGATAATTTTCTCACCACCAAATCCCAGGTGAGAAAACGTAGAGTCCCCCCGAGAGGGGAAATCAAAGCAAGGGTTATGGTGCTGAAGGTATCTTCACCACGGCAGCCGTCTACATATTTGCTAGGCAAACCTTCCCTGTGACAAGACTGTGACAAAGATACAGAACTCTGATCTATCTGTGCTCTCCTCCACGAGCTGTTACCAGAACTTGCAGAACAGCAGAGCGTGTGACACCCTGAGGCGCTGGGGTGAGAGGCCAAGGTTCCTGGGGACACAGTTCCAGGGGATGTAAGGGGGACGTCTGCTTTCTCACCTGAGTGAGTTTCCAGCCTAGGAAGGTGAGTTCTGCTCATTCTCCTCAGCACCTCCCCGAAGGTGGTCTTGGTTTTAGTCTGTGGACTGTCACAGCTGCTGGACTGGTGGTATCTAATAATCTGATGAACTGGATTCGAAATTACTTCTCTCTTCTGGATGGCTCTGAGTTTTCGGCAAATGCTCTCTACTGGGTTGTGACGCTTCTTAGCTTCCGTTTTTGCTGAAGCCATCATTGACATGCTTCCAATTAGATGCAAGTGGTTAAACTGTAGGCAAGAGTTAGTTTTACAAGTTAGCACTGGCCAAAGATTTAGGAACAGGCTATTTGTTCCCTAATTAACATGCAGGGACTCAAGACTAGATGTTCAATTGATGGCAACAACTTTCCATGCATTTAACACTGGTACTCAAATTTCCAGAAAGTGACAACAGCTATTGTGTATAAAGTACTTGTCCCGTGTAAGCATGGGACTTTCTACTGTCTTTTTAAATATGTCAGCTCAACCTTATAACAGTGCTCTGAGTTCACATTAAGACTATTTCCACTCTGGAAGGAGGAGAGAAGAAGGCACACATTCAAAGTCTCTTCAGATAAGTGACAGAGGGGCTGGGGGTATGGCTCAATTGGTAGAGTGCTTGCCTAGCATGTACAAAGCTTGGGTTCGATTCCCCACGTGGCATAAACTGGGTATGGTGATGCATGCCTACAATCCCAGCATTCAATAGGTGGAGACAGGAGGATCAGGACTTCAAGATCATCCTTGGCTACATAGGCAGTTTCAAGCCAGCCTGGACTTAAGAATTTTACAAGAGGAGCCAGAGAGATGGTTCAGCAGTTAAGAGCACTGGCTGCTCTTGCAGAAGACCAGGGTTCAATTCCCAGCATCCACATGGCAGCTAACAATCACCTGTAACTACAGTCCCAGGGGACCTGACGTCCTCTTCTGTTCTCTGTGGGCACTGTATGCATGGGTGCACTTACATACATGCAGGCAAAACACTCATACACATAAAATAAAAATAAAAATTTTAAAAGGAGTGGCAAGTACTCTTAACCCTGAGCCCTCTCTTGGGTCCCAACTTTGATTTCTGGTCTTCAATACACATGCATTGTTTTCTTAAACATACTTTTAATTCTTATTGTCAAAAATCATGATGTGACTCTTTCCTAAATACCCTGTAACCTACGATTATATTGACATCAATAACCATCAGGTTCCCCAGACTTGGTTCCCAGTTGCTGTGGTTTTCGGCCCCCAATTATTTTCAGCTGACACCTTTGCTTAAAAGAAATGTTTTAACGTTTTTCCTTGTGGAAACAGAAGTCACTCAGTGAGGGAGTGGTAATAACAAGACGAATGACCTGTGAACACAACACAGTCTAATTCACGCCTGATCGAGGCAGTGACTTGGAACATATCTGATTTGCCCAGGTCACGAGAAGTGTGTGGTAAAAGCCCACCTCCTTATTTAAATGGCAGTGATCTCGAACACCTGACTGTATTTCCCTTCTAGAGCCAGAGATCTGAGGTTGAGAGAGACCCTTCACCTGGAGCCTCCGACTCCTCAGCAGTCTGTGTATATCAGCCAAAACCGATGTGGGCTCTGGCCAAGGCAGGGTGAAAGGGCCTCACTTTGTAGGTCCTGGTATCGGACCAAATTCATGTCTCTCAAGTACAGGACACACACTTCTATTTGCTTTTCAAATCTATTTTTCTCTAATCTGTCTTCCAAAATTCTATGAATGACCTAAGCAAATCCTGCTTGACCCTAATGTACCAATTCTCACAAAGAGAACACTTAAGGCTCTGGCTCCTGGTTTTTGACCGCTGACCCAGCTTTCCAGGGTTAACTCGATTTGTTCCTCCGGATACAGGGAAGGTCTTGGGTGGAAATCAATTGAGGAAACGCTGCTCAAGATTTCACTACGTGTGCCGCCTTCCCTATGTGGAAGCAAATCCTGCTTGACCCTAATGTACCAATTCTCACAAAGAGAACACTTAAGGCTCTGGCTCCTGGTTTTTGACCGCTGACCCAGCTTTCCAGGGTTAACTCGATTTGTTCCTCCGGATACAGGGAAGGTCTTGGGTGGAAATCAATTGAGGAAACGCTGCTCAAGATTTCACTACGTGTGCCGCCTTCCCTATGTGGCCTGCGGCCTTTTTTGGTCTCATTTTCTTTAGTTTTAGATCCTCATAGAAAAGCCGAAATCTACCGAACCACCTAAAACCACAAATCTAGGGCTGGACACAGCCACAGACCCCCCAACAAAATCTTAATTTCAGAGAGACCATGGTTAATATTTTAATATAAATGTACCCCAAACATTACATGAGTCATCCACATATGAAAAAATGACTTGTTATTTGAAAGTCGAGTATCACTGATTTCTTCTACTGTTATTGGCTAAATCTAATGACCTAAGCCTAGAGATCACCACTTATACCATCTGAGTGCACACCAGGAAACTAAGTTTAGGAGAACATGGAAAATCTAGTGGTGTCTGTGTTCCCATGCAGCGTGCATATTGCTTTATACATCGTTTGCTAAATCCAAAGTCAGAAAATTAGGAGCTGAGGAGATGGCTCAGTGGCTAAGTACTTGCCTCGTAATCCTGAGGATCTGAATTCAGATCCACAGAACCCAAATAAATGCTAAGTGGGTATGGCAGCCCTCCTGTAACTCCAGCATTGAAGGCAGAGACAGGAGCCTCAGAGCAAGCCAGCTAGCTGAGGCTAGCCACATTGGCCAGCTTTGGGTTTTGTTGAGAGACCTTGCCTCATTGAAAAGTGGAAGACCCATGAGGGTTCCCCACATCAGCCTTGGGCTTCCGTATGCACAACCACTTATACACATGTGCCCACAAAGGTGTGCCCACAGAGGTGCAAACGTATATACACACATGCACACCACACACATGAATAGAAAAATAATTTTAAAAATAATTTTAAAAATAATTTAAGGAGCTGGAGAGATGGCTCAGTGGTTAAAAGCACTGACTGATCTTGCAGAGGACCCGGGTTCAATTCCTAGCACACACATGGCAGCTATGAACCGTCCTTAACTCCAGTTCCAGGGGAATTTGAAGTCCTCTTCTGACCTCCGTGGTATTGCACAACACGGGTGCACTCACATGCATGCAAGCAATACACTCATACACACGGGTGCACTCCCATGCATGCAAGCAATACACTTATACACATAAAAATAAAAATAATAATTTAAAAGTGGGACTAAATATCTACTGTAGAAATTTCTGTTTGGACTGACATCAGATAATGTAATGTAAAATACTGTTTATTATAATAAATAGAGATTATTCAAGCCACTTAATCTCCCCAATCTCATTTTGAGCTCCTCCTATGGAAGTGGGCTTCACTGTTCTGGTTCATAGAACCCAAGTTGTTATTGCCCAAGTTGTCCTCTGTAAGGTCGAAGACCTTGAACCAACCATCTGGTGCACGGCAACATCAATAAAGCGGGTCTGATAACCTAAGGCTGGATTATGTGTTATGTGCTGTATCTAATTTTCACTACTGATCCCCTGTGTTGTTCAACATTAACCTCCAAGACAACTGCACTCTAACTCATAGACATGCACATAGGTACGAGTATATGTACTAAAGGAGTTTCAGTGAGCTGTGATAAATCCACCATGTATATACAACATAGGCAATGTTGCATATTCCTTGAGTATTTGCAGACAAAGGTCACCATCAAGTTCTTCAAACTGAGAAAATAGCTGAACTTTATTGCAAAAAGAAAAAAACAAAAGGGCGAGACAGCATTAGGGGCGCCTCAGTAGGTGAAGTGTTTACTGCAAAAGCGTGGGGACTCAAGTCCGATCTCCAGAGGCCATGTGAAAGAGGGGGTACAGGGCCCGGCTGTAACCCCCCAGGGGTGAGGAGTACCGGTATAATACACAGGCCAGGAGGATCTTGGGGCACGCTGGCCAGCCAGTCCAGCCAATCAGTGAAGTCCCGGTTCAGGGAGCAGCTCCGTCTCAAAAATCAAGGTGAATAAAGGATGATACCCCCCACTGACCTCTGGGCTCCATGTGCATGTGCACACGTCATATATGATCACATATGTGCACACACACAAAAGCATAAGATTTAGACATGGGTACAAGAGTGGAATCATTTTTAGAATGGTAAGTTTTAGGATCATTCATTTTTAAAAAGTCTATTGGAAATGTAACTCTTTTTCCTCTACAGGTTTTTTTTTAAACACAGGGTCTTGATGTGTGAACATGCTATATAGACCAAACTGGCCTCAAACGAAGAGTAATCCCCTTGTTTCTGCCTCCCAAGTTCTGGAATTACATGTGTATGCCACCTTACCCAGCTTAATACCATTTCTTTTATTTTTATTTTATTTTATGTGTTACAAGTAGTTTGCTTGCATGTTAAGTGCACTAGTACATGCAGTGCCTGAAGAGGCCAGAGGAAGGCACCAGATCTCCTGGAACTGAAGTTAGGGATGGTTGCTAGCCTCCCTGTGGGTTCTGAGAATTGAACCCAGGTCCTCTGCAAGAGCAGCCAGTGCTCTTAACTGAGAGTCTCGCCAGCCCCTTAATGCTATTTCTTGAATGCTGCACTTTCAATTTACAGATCAGGCAGGCTTTTGTTAAGTCATTCAATACCCAATTATGAAATCCATACAGGGCTAGAGGGATGGCACAGTGGTTAAGAGCATTTACTGCTCTTCTAGAGGACCAGAGTTTGGTTCCCAGCACCCCCAACTGGTGGTTCACAACTGCCTGTAACTCCAGATCCAGGAGATCTGATACACTCTTCCTGGTCTCTACAGGCACACACACATGAAACACATGTGCATATGCAAATTAAAATCCTTAAATCCATGAAAACCTTCCCTGACTCATTTAAGTGAAATTCATTTGATGGTTTATTGTAATTAAAGCTTTTAATTGATGAGTGCCAAAAAATTCACATGTATATGTAGGTAGAAGGTAAACAAGGGGTTACTTTTGGCAAAAGACCCCCTCAAGCAATGACTAGGCATCATTAAACGTCACCAGATCTTAAAAATCTGTTCTAGTCCCTGGGACATTCCCAGAAAACCTCCTAGCTTAGTGGGAAAACAGAATATTTTTCTACTTAACTCATGATTTTTACTGTTTTGAGACAGGATCTCACTCTGTAGCCCAGGATGGCCTCCAGATCATGATAATCCTGCCTCAGCCCCCAGAGTGCTGGGGTCACCAGTG